GACTAGATGAGACAAATTTAGAATTAGTCAACAGAGAAATATACTCTATGATAATGAAAATAGAAGATCATAAAGAAAGAATTGTATTTGATATAATACAAATCAGAATCTATGATATGGTACTAGAATACCCATGGCTAAATAAACACAATTTGAAGATTAACTGATGTGAGAGAAAGATAAGACTAACAGAATATGAATATTTTCTAAGATCAGATGCTCAGTGACCCAGTAATTACAGCACTAAATGAGCTAGAGGCATAGTTACAAACAAAGAGATTCAAGTAACAAAAAATGTTAGAATGTTCAGAGAGATGAAAGAATCAACAAATCTGCAAGCTGCAACAGAAACAGCAATACTAAAGAAGTATTTAGAATTCTGAGAGTTATTCTGAGAGAAGAAATTATTGCAGAGTCTGCTGAGACACTGAGATTGAGATTATGAAATATTAATATAAGAAGGCAAGAAACCAGTCTACTCAGTGATCTACTGAATGACAGAGAAGGAACTGTTCAAACTTCAGAGATATTTAAATAAAAACAAAGCAAAAGAGTTAATATGATCATCAACATCATCAGCAGAATACTCAGTGATCTTTATTTCAAAGAAAGATGAAAGTTTATAATTATATATGAATTACAGACAGCTAAACAGCATAATATTGAAGAATCAGTATTCTTTATCTCTTATTGAAGAGATATAGAATAGGTTTTAAGAAGTAACATGATTTACTACACTAGACTTAAGAAGAGCATACAATCTGATAAGAATGAAGAAAAATGAAGAATGGAAAACAGTATTCAAAATATAATTTGAACTTTATAAATATTTGATCATGTCTTTTAAACTCATCAATGCACTGGTGATGTTCTAAGCAATGATAAATCAAGTATTGTATGAATACTTAGACAAGTTTGTGATGACATACCTAGACAATATATTAATATACATCCATGGAGACAGACTGGATCACATAGAAAAAGTCAAGATGATTTTGAAGAAATTATAGAACAATTATCTACTGTTGAAACCAGAGAAATGTAAATTTTTCAGAAAAGAACTAGGGTTTTTAGAACATATCATCTTGACAGAAGGAATACAAATGAATTCAGACAAAATACAAGCAATAATGGACTGGCCCATATCTATGAATGTTATGAAAGTGCAATCATTTTACAGACTAGCAAACTACTATTAAATCTACATTGAATAATTTTCAGAAATAGCAAGAGCACTGATGATACTCTTCAAGAAAGACATATTCTTTATGTGAAGAGATAAACAATAAAAGATGTATTTCAGCACAGCGATATGTGAAGACACTTCAATTTCAGAAAGTCATATATTGTGAACACAGATGCATCAGACTGTGCTATCAGAGCAAGATTACAGCAGTCTGATGAGCAAGGAAAGCTATAACTCATTGCTTGTTTTGCAAGAACAATGATATCAATGAAGCAAAATTATGATGTATATGATAAAGAACTATTAGTGATAGTGAATATGTTGAAGAAATAACAAATATATCTGAAAGAAGTCAATCATCAAGTGACAATACTCTCAGATTATCATAGTCTACAATACTTTACTATCATGAAGAAGCTAACATGATAGCAAGTGAGATAGTTAGAAACACTGACAGTATATAATTTCAAGATCAAATACTGTAAAAAAAAGAGAATATTTGAACTGATACTTTAAGCTAGAGATCAGATCTGACAATCAAGTAGAAACAGAGACAGACACTCTTCAGTATGAATGAAGATAAGAAAATAACCTTCAATTCACAAGTGATAAAAGCAACTTATACTATCATGAAAAAAACACCCATACTTGATAAAATAAGAGCTTTAGATGAAGACTTGTGAGAGAAGATCAACAGGAAGACAGTGACAAAGAAGAGACTCATGCTGTACAAGAGATTAATATATATATCAAAGAAGATATGAATGAAAGTGATGAGGGAAGAACATGATACTATCACCTCAGAACACTTCAGCATTGACAAGACCATGGAGAAAATCACAAGAATGTATTACTGACTAGAAATGTGAGCAGATATACAGAAATATGTTAGAAACTTTGAAACTTATGGAAGAAGCAAGTTAGATCAACATGCATCATACAGATTACTGCAATCAATACCACAGCTAAAGTGATCATGGGAATTGATTGCAATAGATTTTATGGTCAAGTTGTCAAAATTCAAAGAACCATAGATAAGAGAAGTGTATGATTTAATACTTATAGTCACAGACAGACTGATGAAATACATCTGCTTCATATCATACCAAGAAGTGACATCAACACCAGAGATCATACACATTATACTTAGAAATGTGTTTGTGAATTACAGAACATCAAAAGATATCATAACAGACAGAGACATCAGATTTGCTTTAAAATTCTGACAAACTCTAACAGTATAATGAGAAATAGAAAGCAAGCTTTTAATAGTCTATCACTCACAGATGAATGGACAGACTGAATGATTGAACCAGACAGTGAAACAATACTTGCATTATTATATCAACTATTAATAAAACAACTGAGCAGAATTACTACCTCTAACACAATTGATATATAACAGTTCAAACAATGCAACCACAGAGTTCACATCTTTCTTCATGAACTATAAAAAAGAACTAGACATTCTACAGAAAAGCCTATCAGTCAAGACAAGAGCACAGAAAGCTGAGTTAAGAACAGAACAGTTACAAGAATTGCATCAACATCTGCAAAAGAAAATCAAATTCATCAGCAAATAGATAAAGCACTACTATGATAAAAAATGCCAGGAGACATCTCATTTTAGAGAGAGAGAGAAAGTGTTTTTATTATAAAGAAATATCAAAATCAGAAGATCAAATAAAAAATTAAATCATAAAAAACTAAGATCATTTAAAATTGCAAGAAAAACAAAACCAGTTAATTATGAACTCAATTACTGAAAACCATGTAAATACACCTCATTTTTCATGTCTCACTACTGGAAAAAGCATCATAAAATGCTAAATAATATAGAACAGTAGTCAATCTGAAAGAAGAAGAATATAAGATTGAAAGAATTCTGAATAAACAAAGAATTAGTAGAAAAGATCACTATCTAATCAAGTGAAAAGAATGTGATATCTCAGAAAACATCTGAGAATCTATTGAAAATCTGTCAAATGCAGCTCAGATGATTCAATAGTTTCACTGATAAAATCTGAAAGCTGATTCAGCTGAGTGAGCTGTAAATCAGAAAGTTTGAAAGAGAAGTCATCAATAGTAGTGAGAAGCTGCTCTATCTCTTGTTGCTAAGCAGCTTGTATCTCATACTGTTTTTTCTCCTCTTCTTTCAACTTTTTTAATTTCTCTAAAGATTTCACATCAGATTTGAGAAAATGACTAGCATGTTCATGAAAAAACTTCTTTTGTTTTTGAAGATAAAGCAACTTTTGAAGAATTTGAATCTCTTCTTTTAACTTCTTCTGAGCACAGTATAACTTGTTCCAATCAGAATGAGAAATACTGAAATCCATGACATAACAACAGCCAACTTGAACACATTTACTATACTTTTTCAATTTATCAGATTTAATGCAAAAGTGATTTGACTATGAACAACAAAAACAAGATGAGAGCATGATAAAGTTTTGTCTATTGATATCAGCAGCAAGTTCACAACAGTGAATCATCTGATCATAGACCATAACAGCAAAATAAAGAATTAAGTAAAAATAAATCTAATGAGAGAGCTGATAGAGACTAAGTGACAAAATAACAGAATATGTTTTCATAGAGAGTATAGATCACATGACTGATAGATTGATATGACTGATAGATTCATGTATCAGATCTATCAGATCTACCAGAGGATTTCATCATGTATATAAAGATACTAATTATTTTTAGAATCAAAAAAGCTTATCTTCTTGATTATAATCAATTTCATTATGCTTTGAGAATACTCTATCTTTCAACTATTCTATTCAGTTATAATCATAGTTTTGATTCCCTTGAGATACCCTTCTACTGTGTTTATATCTCTTATAGATCATTAAGGTCTTAGACACTCATCTTAACTATTATCAGTAATAGAGATCAATATTTCTATTGTTCAATTCTAGTGGCAGCTGACCTTTCTACAGTGATCAAGCATGATAAGGCACTTAGTCGATCTAATCTTAATCAACTCAGATGAATGCTTGCTGTAACAGAGCCAAGTCCAGTTAACAAGTTTCAAAAGTAGTATAATCAATACTCACTAAAGTGAAAGCTTGAACTCACAGTTCAATAGAATAATATAATATAATTATATTTATAAAGATTAAAGCAGTTGAAAAAGAATTTGAATATAGAATTTTATATACTTGTTTAAATGAGGTAGATTGTTGAGATGAGAATCAAAGAATAGAGAACAGAGTATAAACTGTTTATTTATTTGAATATCAAAGCTACTTCCTAATCCATACAAATTAGATGAGGTAATTGGTATTTGTGATATGCCAAGCAATACTACTGTAAGTCATAACTTATGTTTCACACCTCCGTACTCTCAAAGAAATGGACACTATGCCAAGCCGGAAGTAGTTAATCCGACTCTGAATAGAAAGGGCTTGGCTATATCAAGAGTTATGTAAAAGGCATGAGATGCTATAACTATATCATTATCGCGGGCATAGTTAGTTTTAGAATCTTATATCTTCCTCCTTATTTCCTTTTACGACACACAAATTCGTTTCAGCCGGTTCTCATTGCTTCATACCGCAATGCTGTGCATCCACTCTCATGAGCATATTTAATCTCTGCGTTCTTGTCCCATTTTTTAAAATACAAAATTAGACCCGCGTGTTCGCTACTCGATTTCGAGATATCTCTACTAAAATACCCCCACACTTCTACCCTTCTTATCGGGAACAGCGATGGCCACTGTTCCAGCTTCCATGCGTCATTACGGCGTGGCGCTCTCTGCAACAGCTGCATCCTTAATACACCCCTTGCCTTAAAATGATTCATGCAACCTTGCCGCCCGATCCAACGGAGCTTCCCAACCCGCGCCCACCGCCTTGTCTTTAGAAACACCTTGTACACTCAAAGTGCTGAGAAGAATGAACCTGCCTATGATCGCTCCAAAGTGAACCCCACCTCCGCCGAAAACACAAAGAGTGGTACATACGACGACATCGCTGGTCAGTAGGGCGCGTTTGACTCGTCCAGTACCTCGCCCGAATCCGAACTGGAAGAGGTCCGGCAGAATGCCCCCGAGAACAAGGATGATGTTGACGGCAAGGTGAAAAGTGGTCGGAACCCGTTGGAGGTAAGCCCGCAAAGCAAGATTCTCATGTGGGAAGGTTGGGGGAAATTCGAAGGGCCAGGGCAAGGAGTCTAGTAAAAGGGTTTGGCGGCAAAAGGGAAAGAGACATGGGTTTTTCCTGACCCTTCCTGTGACCCTGATCCCCTTGTACCTTTTTTTTTTTTTTTTTTTTTTTGGGGGGGGGGGGGGGGATGGGTGGGTTTTTTTTTGGTTTTTGGGGTTTTTTGGGTCTTTACCTGTTCAAAATAATCCCGGCAATGTGTTCACTTCCTTGGGCTTGTCAGTCGGTCTATGATCTATTGACCGGTTTCATGGGAGTTGTGTGAAGTATCGCATAGCCATTAGCGTAATTATAACTTCTTAATCTCAATTTGTCATTGGGTTTTCTTCTTGTTTTTCGATACTTTTTATTCTCTGTTAACGAATTCAGCAAATCTCATAACTCTGTTTATCCTGGTGTATCCAATCCTCTTGTTTTTGAGTAAAAGTTGGTCATTCCGGCCCCGATCGTCTGGTTTTGACTGACCCGAGCTAAATTCCATGTAGGTATGTATCTATGGGCTCAATATGGATCCCCACAGTAATCAAACAAAGCCAGCTCGCTCCCTATTTCAGATGAAGGAGGCTAATTTCGGCTAAGACTATCTCTGCTGTTGTCTTTCGTCTGTTTTCTTATCTACGTCCGACAGGTGCTCAGTGTCCCGGAAAAGTTTTGTGTTGTATATTTTTATGAGATCTTAAATTCCCTTGTGTTTCTTAGATTTTATATGAGTCGCATGGCAGGAATTTGCGTACTTCCCGCAGATTCATATAACTAATGAATAGTCACCAATAACTTTATTTAACAATCTTTTCAGTTCCCAGTAGGGTTGGAATATCATATCCGCTCCGTTTACACCATTTCGCATGATCTTCAATCGTCCATTTTACAAACGCCAGTAAAATCATGTTGATAAAAAAGAACAAGAAGAGCCAAATCATACTACAAATTCTGGGTTATTTAAGCTGACGGGCAGATCTGTCGTGCGGCCGACTGATCCCTGCAACTTCCTGGGATGGAAGAAAACAAACGCAACAACAAAGGTTTCCAGTGAATTATCAAATCTCGTTGCTGCAATATATTCACTCAGCTTCCCGCCATGAATCAGGTATGCAAGCTGGATTTGGCGATTGCAGAATTAACTAGGCCCACCCTCGGTGATGTTGCTATGAGCCAGCAACAGAGGGCCCTTCACCACCCGGGATCAACTACACCTTCTGTCAACGGTATATTCAATGCCCAGGGGGGGGGGGGAAAAGAAAATAATAATAATAATAATAATAATAATAATAATAATAATAATAAAGGGAGGGGGCGGTAGAAAAATCAATGAAGGCATTTGACTCATAGAAGGTGTAGCAGATGCCGCGCTTACCATGCAGACATTATTTCCGTTCAAGAGGATCTTCGGTAGTTTGGTCTGAGCGCCCGTGTAGTCACTATAAAAGTTATCAGAATAACTCGCTTCATACATGAATCAAGTGGACGTTTGAATGCACGTAAAAACGAAACTTTGTAATAAGATAAAGTAAACCGTAACGTACAATTCAGTCACATCTTCGAGGACCATATCTAGGATATATGTCAGTCAATAGCTCTTAGGACCTACTACCAATCTATCGGGCGCAGCGGAGCAGGGTGCTCAACATACTAACGTAGTCATCAAAACCGAGCAGGGTGCCTGAGAATTCTATATTAAATGTTAGATTGAACTTTTGCGTTATACACGAACATCCGGGAAGTCGGGGGAAAAGAGATCAAATTCGTGTACTCCGTCAATGAGCATCAATATCATAAAGAAGCAACTCCACGCGTATACATACCTTTATCGCCTTTCATGACAACCCAGATTTTCGAACCCACACATTTATCAATCAACTCTAAAAACATATAAGTGTTTAGCATACAAAAATCATAGAGTTCATCAGTGAACCAAATCGAATCAAGTCGAGCCTCACCTAGAGGAAGTAGTTGAGACGCCATTCTTCCGAAAGTCACTAGTAGTTACGGGATAATAGGCTATTATACTTCACTCCTTAGCCCCGTTACAAAATACAAATGGAGGAAAATGCTTTGCGTGACATTTAAATGGATTAGATGTATTTTAGCTATTTCTGCACCACTTCTTGAATCTTGAACAACCAAAAATATAAGACTAACTACCCATCACGTGTTAGGGTAACTTTCTGTTAGCCGGCCCTGACTGGTTGTTTGTGTGGGACGTCTGAAGCGGTTATATTGGTAGCTAACTCGGGGATGCTATACTACTGTGCGGTTCGCTAGTCCATAATAGGATGCCTAGGCTCCAACACCTTTCCCTCAGACTAAGCTAGCCAGTCTATATTTTGACCAGACCTTTTTTCAACCACTTGATTCAAACCTAACTCACCACCTTTACCACGCGTTTTCTCAACCACATTATTAAAATGAAGCCTAATAATGAAGCTGCTATAGCTGCTGCTATAAGAATTTAAAAAATGGTTTTTTTCAATTTGAACAAGCTGCTGCTAAAGCATATAATATCTTATGAAGCACATTGAAGAGCAGAAAGAATGATTTCATTTAACAAAAAATTACTCATCAACATCAACAAAAGTTGACTTCAGAGCAAGAGATCTTTCTAGTTCAATGGATAAAAGAGCAAGATTCACAAGAATTTCCACTCTCTCATACATGTGTATGAGAAATGACCACTCAAACTCTATAAATGAATTGAGATCTCACTCAGCTGAATAAGAATTGAATAAGAAAGTTTCTAAAATAAAATTCTATAATAAAATTTGTAATTGACTAAAGGATTAAGTTTCAAAGAATAGAGAATACTCAGCAGGAAATACTTCAGCAGTTCTATAACTACTTTTCTAAGATATAACAGACTTATGAGATAGTCATTGAAAATATATGAAACATGATTAGGCATGACATTGCTTTAGAAGTATGTATGAACATCAGAGTGCTTGCTGAGTAAAGAAAAGGCAAAATTTATATTAAATCTTTCTCTAATTGTAAGTAAGTTTCAATTCTAGAAGCTATTAGTGCTGATGAGTGCTATATAGATCCTCTAGTCATTTTTTGATATCAAAATGCACAATCTAGCTGGTATGAGAATGCGAATATACTCAATTGAATCTATATAACATTAGATAATAAATAAATATTGAGTAATATATATCTCAATTAATTATGTATAATTTTTCTATTTCAAATGTTTAAGAAAAGTCAACATAGATTATTAGTGCTAAATGATTACAGCAGTCACATTACTATTGAATTTCTATAAAAATATCATATAAATTTGATTTATTTAGTGTTTTTACCTGCTAATACATCTTATGCTCTTCAACCATTAAATTTTAAAGTGTTTTCATTCATGAAGAGCTACTATAGAGCTGAGATCATTATCTTAAGCTATCTGAATGATGCTGCTTCTGTGAAGAAAAGAAGATTCATACAAGTCTATAAATAAGTACATTCAAAGATCTTAGAATCTTATAATATATATAAAAAGTAGAAAGCAGTTGATCTAGTATCATTTAATTCTTTCAAGAGATTAGATTTCTCTCAGATTTGAGATTAAAGTCAATTTAACTTTAGATCAGTGATATTTACAATCTCTCTATTTTCTGAACCATAAGACTTCTTGCTTACAACTCTCTAAGATTTTAAACATATATATAAGACTCTGCAATAGTTGAATAAGAAGAGAATTCTTACAAGAAAGTAGTGAGTTTTTCTTTACAAAGTTAGCAAGATAATTAATAAGTTAAATGCTCTACAAGCTGTCAGTCAGTCTATAATTTTTAAACTCTCTAATCAACTAGAGACTCTATAGCAGTCAAAAATCCAAAAGAAGATGAAAGTTGATTCAAATACTTAGTTTATCAATATAGAAAGAATTGAAAAGGCTTAAGAGAAAGCTACTACTCTAGAGGCTAGAAAACAACTACAGAAGTCAGAAATTAAGATTAAAAAAGCAGCAGCAGCAGCTTTAGCGGAAGATCTTAAAGCCTGCATATTTAAATGACAATTAGATTGAATTTATAATTAAATATTTACTCAAGTAGAAAGAGTAATTACTTTAAATAGAGTGATAGAAAAGAATATAATTGAAATATAGACTATCTAGCTTGGTCAGTCTATATTTTAATTAGATTCTTTTTGATTATATGAAGAAAATGACTGATTTTTCAACAATATAAGTTTTTCAACAAGACTCTACAGTGAATTAGATGGGCTAAATAGTTTACTAAGCTGGACATTATTGCAGCTTTTCACAAGATTCAAATCACAGAAGGTGATGAGTGGATGACAGCCTTTAGAACCAAATACAGACTATTTGAATAGCTAGTTACACTCTTTGATTTGGCTAATACTCTAAGCATATTTCAAAAATATATCAACTAGGCATTACATAGATATCTGAATGAGTTCTGCTCAGTCTATTTAGATGATATCTTGATATTTTCCTCAAGAAGATTACAGAAGTTCATAAGTATATACAAAAGATGCTTATGTATCTACAGAAAACAGGCTTGCAGGCAGATATCAGAAAGAGTTGGTTCAAGATAAACAGCACAAAATATCTTAAATTCATCATTGAAGTGAGCAAGGGTATACAAATGAATCTGAAGAAGATTAAAGCTGTTTTGAAATGGACAACACCTACTACTTTTAAAAATATATGAGAATTTTTAGACTTTGCTAATTTTTATAGATAATTTATCAGGAATTTCTCAAAGATTGTGAATCTGCTGACAATTCTTATACATAAGAATGTTTCTTTATTGTGGATGAGCAAGACTGTGGAAGTTTTTAAGTATCTAAAATCAATGTTTATCTCTGCTTCAATCCTGCTTCAATTCAACTCTAATTGTGAGACTATATTGAAAATGAACTTCTTGAATTATATCTCAGAAGAAGTGCTGCTACAATATGATGAGCAGAGCATTCTACACTCATGTGTCTTCTTCTCTCACAAGTATTCATTTGTATAATGCAACTACGAGATTCACGATAAGAAGTTATTAGTGATAATTGAGTGTATAAAGAAATAAGACACTGAGCTATGAAGTATAAAGAAATTTAAGATCCTCACATATTATAAGAATCTAGAATACTTCATAACTACATGTAGACTAAATGAAAGACATAATGAGAGGATCAAGCAGAGGCAAGCTCAACTACTTAAATGTAACATACTGGCATCTGAAATATAATCAATAGTGACTGCTGCTAGTGTGGAATCTGAGATATCTCTTCAAGCTCAGTGAAATAAGATCTGTAAAAATAATAAAATTCTACAGTATCTGAAGCAAACTCTTCATAAGAAAAGATTCAGATTTTCTTCTGAACTCAGCATTAAGACCTTCATCTCTGAGTGCTCTTTAAATGAGAATAAGGAGCTTCTCTTTTGAAATTATAAATAAATACCAGACTTCAAACCTCTTTGAATCAGATTAGTGTATGAGACTCATGACTTATCTCTTACTGATCATTCTAGGTAAGAGCAAACAGCAGAAGTTCTAAAATATGAGTTTTACTGACCAGACTATGCCATTAATGTGAGAAGAATGATCAGAAACTGCTATCTTTGCAGATCAAATATTGCATGAAGAGATCAATGTCAGAGACTGCTTAAGCCTCTTCTCATTTCTGAATAAATATAGCAAAAGCTTTTCATGAACTTTATTATGAACTTATCAAGCTTTAAGAAATATATGAATATCATGATTATAATAGACAGACTGATCAGAAGAATTATATGAAAAGCAGTTAAGAAAACTGATATGAAGATAATGACTAGAGTATTTCTTTGCAATATTATTTCTCAACATGAGATCTCTAAGATGATAGTATCAGATCAAGAGTTGGCTTTCACAAGCATGTTTTGAACTTAAGTGTGTGAGAAATTAGATATTAAGAGACAACTCTTCACAGTTTATCATTCAGAGACTAATGAAGCTATAGAGTGAATGAATTAGACTCTGAAAATCTATTTATGCAAGTACATTAGCTTTCAACAGAATGACTAGTGTGAATGACTCTTTCTAGCAGAGCTAGTCATCAATAATAGAGATGCTGTCTCAATGAATATAAGTATATTCTTTTTAATATATCTTTTCTATATCTTCTTCATTGATATAGCTGATGTACTTCTCATTAAAGTGCTATGTAATCTCATTGAGTTTGCAGATGATTATATGAGAAAGACTCACAAAGTGTTGAAGTGAGCTCAAGTAAAAATAATGAATGCTTAGCAATCTTAAAAGAAATATACAAATAGATGAAGAGATTCAGCTTCAAGCTTTTAATCTGAAAATAAAATTTGATTTAGCTTAGAGAACATGAGAACTAATCATCTGTGCAAGAAGTTAAATGTGAAATACAATCAATATACTATGCTAGAAAAGATAAAATTTCATACTTATCAACTGAACATCTCACTTAGCATTCACAATATCTTTAATATAAAGCTTCTACATGCTGCAGTGATGAATTCCCTGTCTAATCAGAGGCAAACTGACTGACAGCCATCTGCTATAGAGACTCTGAAAGAATTTAAGTTTGAGATTGAGAAAATTCAAAGTGAATGAATCTATCAGAGAAAAAAGCAATATCTCATTAAATGAGTAGATTGAGCTGAGTTTATATGAAATGACAAGAGTCTTCTACAAAAAGTGAAGGCTTTGAACACTTGAGAGGCCTCTTAGCAGGCAAAATTAGATGTAAAGAGGGCTTTAAATAGTCATAAAGACCTGCAACAAATAGGAAGAAGAAGAGTATTATAAGAGGTTGAACCCCTAGATTCACTCTGCTGGCTGACTCAGCCTAGTCATCATTTGCACATGCACACATGATCATGCTACGCGAGCTTGCTTAAGCTCAAGTTCTCATCTCATTCTTTTCTTCCCTTTCTCAAGCAATTCATCCTTGTTATATAGGAGGACTAGCCTCTAGTTCTTAGAGCTTAACCCTTTACAGTT